ACGCTTTTACATCCTTAAAGCACATCTCCATACCGAAAAAACCCACTTCAACCAGTCTGAGCTGGACTCTCAGACTGAAAACCCTGTAAAACCAGCTAACAGACCAGTTTGACCGTGATAAGACTCGCAGTACAGCTTAGGCTAGATTAAGATGTTTTTTTATTTTTAGCTGAGCCTCTGAGGTCATTAAAGTCACAAAGGCTATAAGATAATGTTAATAATAGCGAAATATGAAATATACATATCAGACCGGAAAAAATAGCTAAATAAATCTGTTAAAAATATAAATAATCTTAAAATATACCACCAAAAATAAATATAAAATAAATACTTGAATATATATATATATATATATATATGGCTTGAAATATTTCAATAATATTATTAATATATAATTTAATAATATATTACATTTAAGTTTGTAAAAAACATCTACATCGTCTTTTATGCTGACATTATTTAGCAAAACAACATTATAAAAAATAATAATAATTACATAATTATTATAAATTATATTAATTAGCAGAAATATTTAGACAAATATCATATATACAATATAATAATAATAATAATATCATTATTATTGTTCAAATTATTATATATAAATATATAATTAATGTAAATAAGTAAAAGCCTCTGTAACATGTTTTCTGCTTACATTAATTAGCAAAATAATATTTGATTATAAATAACAACAATTATTACATAATAATTATAAATAATGTTATTTAGCAAAAAATATTTAGACAAATAAATTATATATAACACATATATACACTTGAATTTACTTAAAACAATATTTTAATAAAATTATTAAAATATAATAATAACAACAATAATAAAATTATAAATATTTACTTTTAAATATATTAAAACATATTCGAACACTAATAATAATGATGATGATAATAACAAAAATGTATGTAACATATTTAAAAGAATAATTATATAATTGTTACATAAACAGATTTTAGTCTTATAATATATGACGGTTAGCATTAATCAAGTGTCGAATGCCACTGTTTTCACAATGTAATTGATTCCTGATGAACAAAACCAACTGCCCTACACTCTCAGAATAAAAGGTACAAAAGCGGTCACTGGGGCGGTACCTTTTCAAAAGGGACACTTTTGTACCTTTTAGGTACTAATATGCAGTGTTGGGGGGAACGCATTACAAGTAACCCGAGATACGTAATCAGATTACTTTTTAAGTAACTAGTAAAGTAACGCATTACTTTTTAATTTACAATAAAATATATGACTTTCTTTTTCAAATAAGTAACTCCAGTTACTTTGTTTGCCCATTTATTGACTGACAACTCTCCTGTCCCCATGTTGAGAGAAATCGGGAGCAAGTGCAGAAGCACTGCGTGAACAAGAGACTAAATGTGAACATGCATTTACTCATCTCACTTTGCAAACAGATTCAGTATTCCTCAAAATGAATGAAAACAGTGCAATGCAAACCTGCAATACTTAAATGTACTAAATAACACAAATACCTTTTATGCATTTAATCACATTTTATTAATCAATATCTTTGCAGCCGACCTTCGATGATCCAATTCAGCCGCATTAATAAGCAAAAATTATTTAAAATAAACATGACATTTGTTTTTCTTTCTTTTTGTTTTATTAAAGTGTTTAAACTTTCTTCTCCTGCATTCTATGCTTCATGCAATCCAGAATGGCTGAGGCGTATTCGTTTCACTTTTGGTGTGAAAGGGCCTTTACATTTGCCAAAAATAGAACATTTTATATTAAAAACAAATTAGCAAGCCCAGCCCAGATGAGATAAAGTAATTATCTCTTATTTGCACAGTCCATTAGGGCTGTGCAAAAAAATCAAATGCGATTTTCATGCAAATCTCCTCCGTATCAGTGTCTCCAGCACGTGCTTTCAGATGGAGCGGCATTTACTACACAGAGCTGTAGTTCACTGACAAGCTACACAAAATCGCCTGCGATTTTGAACGCGATTTTGTGTAGCTTGTCATTCATACAATGAAATCCATACAATGAATCGCCTGCGATTTTGAACGCGATTTTGTGTAGCTTGTCATTCATACAATGAAATCCATACAATGAATCGCCTGCGATTTTGAACGCGATTTTGTGTAGCTTGTCAGTGTGAAAGGGCCTTTACATTTGCCAAAAATAGAACATTTTATATTAAAAACAAATTAGCAAGCCCAGCCCAGATGAGATAAAGTAACGCAAAAGTAACGAAATGCATTACTTTCCATTAGGGCTGTGCAAAAAAATCAAATGCGATTTTCATGCAAATCTCCTCCGTATCAGTGTCTCCAGCACGTGCTTTCAGATGGAGCGGCATTTACTACACAGAGCTGTAGTTCACTGACAAGCTACACAAAATCGCCTGCGATTTTGAACGCGATTTTGTGTAGCTTGTCATTCATACAATGAAATCCATACAATGAATCGCCTGCGATTTTGAACGCGATTTTGTGTAGCTTGTCATTCATACAATGAAATCCATACAATGAATCGCCTGCGATTTTGAACGCGATTTTGTGTAGCTTGTCATTCATACAATGAAATCCATACAATGAATCGCCTGCGATTTTGAACGCGATTTTGTGTAGCTTGTCATTCATACAATGAAATCCATACAATGAATCGCCTGCGATTTTGAACGCGATTTTGTGTAGCTTGTCATTCATACAATGAAATCCATACAATGAATCGCCTGCGATTTTGAACGCGATTTTGTGTAGCTTGTCAGTGAACTACGACTCTGTGTAGTAAATGCCGCTCCATCTGAAAGCATGTGCTGGATATGAGATGCGCAAGAAAAATTTTTTTTGCACAGCCCTACTTTCCATAAAAAGTAACTAAGTAATGCAATTAGTTACTTTTTTAGGGAGTAATGCAATATTGGGGAAGTCGAGGCCTAATGGTTAGAGAGTCGGACTCGTAACCCAAGGTTGCGGGTTCGAGTCTCGTACCAGCAGGGATTGTAGGTGGGGGGAGTGAATGTACAGTGCTCTCTCCCACCTTCAATACCACGACTGAGGTGCCCTTGAGCAAGGCACCGAACCCTCAACTGCTCCCCGGGCGCCGCAGCATAAATGGCTGCCCACTGCTCCGGGTGTGTGTTCACGGTGTGTGTGTGTGCACTTTGGATGGGTTAAATGCAGAGCACTAATTCCTAGTATGGGTCACCATACTTGGCCACATGTCACTTCATATTGTAATGCATTACTTTTAAAAGTAACTTTCCCCAACACTGCTAATATGGACACTTTAGGTACAAAGGTGTGCCTTTTGAAAAGGTTCCACCCTCAGTGACAGTTTTTGTACCTTTTTTTCTGAGAGTGTACATTTCCAAAGGCGTCACATTACAGAAGCTTCTGAAAGCGCTTCATGTTGACTTCAGCTGTCAAGCACACAGAGTATGGAGGACGTGCAAACGCATCTCAGGTGAAGTCTGCTTTCAGCTGCTTGGGCCGCGAGGCTCCAAGGCCCCGGTGCTTCCCACTCGGATGATAAATATGTTATTGAGACGGAGCCGAGCGAGCTCTCTGTGGCACACGGAGCGAGGGTGTGTTCGGCGGTCAACAATGCTACCGCAACCGCTTGGCCAGAGCTTCTGAAAACCTAATCTCTTATTCTTCTGTTTTATAAGCTTCTGAATATTTGTGGCCGGCGAGATCCGATTCTCTGGAGCACTACAGAGCTGCATGTGAATGGAGAACACTAGCAAATCCACACACACATAAACACGCACGCTTTCTGCAGTGTGTCATCCTCCAAAGCTTGAGAGAAACAGGGAAACGTTTCATGTTAGTGGGCGAGGAGAAGAAAAAGAAATACGGAGGGTACAGACAGACGTTAAAGGGAAAGGAGAGGGAAGGACATGCATTTTAAAACCAAGTTAAAATGCCATCTGCTTCAGGGACACGAGGAAGCTTGCGCACTCACTGAGACACTTACCAATCGCTTCTGGAAATGATAAAAAAAACAGAAAAAGAAGCAGAAAGGAAGAACAAAACAGCACATTTTAGGGTTGGGTTCACAGCAGTCGCACACACCCTGAAATCAATAGAGTTTAGTGCGGAATATCCCTTTGTAGGACGAGATGTTAAACACAGATTTTAGGCCATTTTATGAGCACGTTTAATGATATTAGAGACTAGCTTATGAGGAAATCTCAGGAAACCCGTCAAGAACATTTCTAGGTTTCTACATTTGTAAAAAATCTAAATAAAATAAAAATACAATTTGAATAAAGAAGGAATTAAGCACCACTCCATCTCCAAATTCTCATTATCAAAATTATTTAATAATTGTTTTAATGATTCTCAATTATGATTTTAATAGTTTATTTTACTGTACATCATTTAAAAATCATTCAAATAAGCACAAATTAAATATTTAATTGAAAGTACAATAAATAAATCTAAACTTCTATCATGTATAAATACTAAAAAATATAAATATAAAAAATTTAAAAGTATAAATATTAATTTAATATCAATAATTATATATATATACTTGAAATAATATTTTAATAATATTAATATGTAATTTAATATATATTACATGTAAAATAATAATAATAATTCAAATGTATTTAATACATTTAAAAAGAACACTTATATAATTTTACATAATGGTTAATTACATAATTAACCATTATACAATGGTTAATTGTATTACTTTTAGATAATTAATTTAAATAAGTACAAATAAAACATTTAATTGATACAAGCATAAAGTAAAGATCAATGCAATAACAATAAACAATCTTCCATCATGAATAAATACTTAATAATATTAAGTTTATAAATAAATAATGTTTTAATAATATTAATAATATATAATTTAATATTTTAATGTTTTTAAAATAAGAAGAGTTTTTTCACATTACAATAATGAGAATGTGATATATCATTTCATTATGGTAATGAATTTTGCATATCGATTTTATTTTCATTTGCTTTTCTGTGGTGAAATATTATCAGAACATGTTCTTGACAAGTTTAGCGAGTTTTGCAAACTTGTTTTATCACATCGATTCAAACTAATATGTTATGTATAGTTAGAATTATAGTTATGTTTTATATATAGTGTGTGAAAACAGTCAAAATAACTGCCCTTGGTAAAACAATTATTGCCTTAAGAAATTCATTAACATCTTTAGAGATTTAGAAAACGTTAGCATATTTAATTACCAATTAGACGCACCAAATAAATACTACTAAAAGCATTTAGATAACTCACTAACACACAAATTGAATTAAGACCATGATTATAGCTAATTTGTACATGCTGTATGCTCTGCATACTGAATTTAGTTTGTCTAATTAGTAGTACTCCAATAGTATGTTAATTATCGGGGGCTAGTCAATGTTCTGCATGTGAATGCGGAAATGCCGCTAGAAACCTGCTTAAGTTGAAATAGAGACAGAGACATCACAAACAAGACAACAGAGAGTGAGGCACAACAACATGTATGACCCACTCACACAGCGACAAAAACACAGACAGAGGGAGGACAGGTTGGATAGCCATGCTAAACTTAGCTGCTAAACTTTTAGCACTGCTTCGTCAAACTGTAGGCTAACATAAGCATTTTCAGAAATATGCATTCCCAAAACCCGTTAAATTTCTCTGATTAATCTGCACGTCTGTCAGCAGGGCAGAGAAATTAGCTTACTAAATGACCTTGCGGCTAGTGACATCGCTAATGGAAGCTAAAAGGGTTGACTGTTTGGGTAAGGCCCAACATGCTACACAATAATCTTTCTTCTTGTTCGCAACGAGAAAAGTCAAAGGCATTTGTGTTCCTGTACCACAGCCAACGGCGTTACAGAGGGCTGTGATACCCCCTCGGCGAGTCTGGGTCGTGCATTAACACGGCGCAAAACAAAGCACTCAAGTCTAGCATAAGTGAGAGCAGATGTAGCTGCTCACCGCCAAACCACTTTGCTCGAATCTGAAACTTTATTTTGAAAATATGATGGATCCTGAAAAAGGGAACTTGGGTAAGCAAGTTCAGGTCAAGGGCTGCCAGCCGAGTATCTACTGCCCATACTGATTTACGTCAACAGCTCCGAAACAAATGCAACCCAATAGATTTTTCTTTTCTCTGTTGCTGACAAATCACTGACCCACAACGGTGGCCTTGGGGCGACTAGAGCGCTAGACTTAATGAGATATATAATTAGACTGTTTTACTGGGTCTTTCAATAAAGTTTCATTAGCTTAAACCAGACATTAATCATATGCTTGCCACAAAATCTGGACTAAGCTCCTCTGACACAGTTCATTAAAAGACATTATCTTTCCATTTCAGCTTTCCTAGCAACTTATAGAGCTAACTCTGTGGGTGGTTGTTTTGGAAGAGCACAGAGTACCTATAATCAGAAAGAGGACTGGTACAGAAGCAGTGGGATAAGCAGAAGAATATTAGCAGTAAAGCTTAAGGCGCATCCGTTCGTCTTACCTGATCTGAGCTGTTTGATTCGGCCGTTACTTGTGCTGGGGTCGATGGGGAGGAAGTCTTTGAACCAGGTGATTTCCGGGTCGGGGTTACCGCTCGCGGCGCAAAGCATGGTAGCCGTGCGCGTGCGCTCCACCACCTTTAGCTGTGGGCCCATGTCGATGTTGGGGAAGCCAGCAGGAAGTAGGTCCTCTGTAGGGGAAAACAAAGAAGTTTAAAGATGAGCAGTGGACATTCAGATGCCAATAACCTACTCGAAAGTTCCTACAAAGCAAGTTTCTGGGAGAACCAACTTGGCCTGGTATGAGCAAGTAGCCAAGTCGGGTTTGGCTAGGACCTGTTTCCCTTCAGGGACCCTCAAGGGGACTTGCTGAGGGACAGTCAAAAATTCTCATAGCAAAGAGTACACTGAGCTGTTGCTCATACCGTCATGCATATCATTCGAGTCTTACGGATCCGAGTCTACATCACTAGCGACAGAGCCGTTTAATCGGGGCAAGCACTGGTGACATTTCACCCCCCGGTTCCTCCATAGTTGTTTACGGCACTGAGTTGATACGAAGAGACAGGTGACACACAAGCACACAATAGATTTTGACAATTCACCCCTCTCGCTCTTCAAATGAATCCAGTGTGGCTGATTCCTGCTGTTGTAGGCCAACACAAGCCTTAACGCTCTTCATTGGATCTGTTGTAAAGACAATAACGGATAAGGCAGAGGGAAAACCTCTAATTTCTTTGACCTGTTGTGACTCACATTCTGGCAAAGAAAATCAGACATCGTAGACTGTGCCAATGGGCAAAGGTCAGGCTCTAAGTGTGAAGGTCACATCCTTTGAACCCTTTGAGAGTCACAAAGGTGTGCCAAGGCTCATGACATTACAAGAAACCCACGTAGTGCACCTAGTGCCGGAAACTGTTGTTTTTACACGGGCCGTGTCACCAAGAGAAAGGATTTGAGCCAATGTTTTGTGCAATGACCTTTCATTTCCATGTTCAATTATTCAGTGTTGGCTGGAGATGCATTATGTCTGCCTATCGATTATTAACCAGCAAAGATGGGATATTTAAACGTTCCAGATTGGGGGAGAAGATACAGATACTTGTCCTTCCAAAAGCAGAATTTTGGAAAGCAACATTTAGTGTTTGCTGTAAATGTGATCCGTGGCTGGATTATCCATGCTGTGACACAAGAATATGATTTCTGCAAAGCACACAAATTAAGCCTTAAACACAAGATGAGTAATTTGATTTGAGCTTAATTAAAGGAGGCAAGTACTGGGGAGTTTGGACTGGTGGTGGGCGAGTGAGAGCAGCGAACAGTGTCACTGATAGAAATGTCAAAGCAATTCAAATTCTATTATAGAGTCTGTGAAAGAGGTAGTGCTAGCACTGCTTATATATAGTGGTAATGACTGCGGGCATACGATTGCAAACGGAAAGCGTATCTATATTGTCACCGGGATGCAATAAGTGACCTGGAATCATCCACTAGGAGAGGCTCACCGCGAGCACTCCAAAGTAGAGATGTCCTCTTCGGCTAATAGAAATAGAGAAGGGCTAGAAATAGAATTTGCCTTGCAGATGTACTTTTCCAACACTCAAATTGGTTCAGGGTCAGTTGCTCTGGTAAAATATGAAGGAAATCAGGCAGTAGCGCATGCATATCCGTGCCAAGAGCCCTTAGCCCTGTCCTGCCTGGCTTGCATTCATGGTAAAAAAAAGCCCTGGAGTTTTAATTCCAGCATTCCCCACCAATCTGATCACATGATTAGGTGGATATTCTCTCCACAACAGCTTTTTGATATCGTTACAACCAGTTGACTTACATTAGGCTTGAGGTCTGGGCACGAGTTTCTATCTACCTCTCTAGCACTAGCCTTGTGACATCCCATAACCCCAAACAACTTAATTCAATTCAATTTAATTCAGAGGCTTTCAAATAGTGGCCCATTAGACAAAAACACAGCTTTCCCCTATCTTTGTGCATTTCAGGTGCTACATAATAGCAGATGTCTTTTTTTGTTCTGCACTTTGCAGAGGGATAATTCTACCTCATAATTCCTTAAAATAAGAACTAGAATGCAATTACAGGCCTCGTACTGGGTTTATAACTGGGTGGCTCTGAAGGCCGCCCCTGGCCTGACTAAGAGGCTGTTATGATCAGCATAGCAGGATGAGTGCACCGGCCACTTTAGCCAACAGCTGCACAGCTGCACATTCACCGATTCAGAAGGGCACTGAAGTCCTCCCTCACCCCCCTCCCCTCACCCCCAAACCTTAAATTCGTTAGCTTTGTCAGGGGCTTTTTCGCTCGTGTTATTATCTGTAATTGCATTTAATTGTAGCTTGTGATTTAATGGCATTACGCAAGTGACAGGTGCAAAGCCTCTTAACCTGAGCGGTCAGTTTAGCGCAAGTGGATTTGCAGACGTGCATCCATGGTAATAAGCAAATGAGTTTTGATTGACTTGTGAGCTCATTATCTGTTCAGATTAAAAGTAAAATGGCTATTGCTGCCTGTGCAGCAAAATAAATATGCAATATATACACAACTCCCACCTTCTGATAATTTTTCTTTTCAGAATATATCCATAGTGACAAATAAAAGACCAATTTCCATGTACAATACGAAATATAACACCAAATACTAAGACTGGGTTTGTATGATACCTAGCATTTGCCACTGGGTGTCCATAAGCAAATGAGTTCTAGTTGATTAATGATGATCTCTGAAGCTCATTATCCATGCAGGTGTAATATTTCATATCACAGATTAAAAGTAAAATGGCTATTGCAGCTTGTACATCAAAATAAATAGGTAATATATACACAACTGTCGCCTTCTGCCGGGACTATGGTATTCTTGTTAACAGCTTTATCAACCAGAGACACATTTCATAATTACACAATGCATTCTTTGATAAGCATGAATTTTTAAAAACTACTCTCCAGCAAACACTTTTCTGCTGATAAAAGTCTCGGGGGCGGCATCAAATTCCACAGACGTATCCTCCCAAGTATTGGCTCTTTTTTTATTTTCACTTACAGAAATGATTTAATTTCATCAGTTCCTTAATCGTGTTAACTGATTAGCTCTCGCCACAGCCAGAGATGGCTTTAGAAACACATGAATATTTCCGAGAACTCTGGGAGGGTTGGGGAACAGTGGGCGGAAGAGCCAAAGAGAGAAAAATGGGATACAAACCACACGATGGGAAGAGGAAGACATGTTTTTCAAAAGCAGAACTAAGACGACATTTAACTAATCTGTAGCCCCAGCTGTGTGGATTTGAGAGGTGGTCAATTTAATTTCCTGTGCTCCAAAAACAGCTCAATTTGCATAACAGGAAGTGTACGGAGGAGCGGACGAGAGTTTGTGAGCTTGCTTGATTAATTCTGGAAGAGTCACCGGTCATTAGGGCTGTGTATCGTCAGCAAAGTCACGATACAATATGTATCACGATACAGAGGCCACGATACGATATGTATCACGATGCAGGACTGCACTGAATTTCACCTCAGCAGAATTTAGTAAAACAGCTGTTTATTAAACACTGCACACTATAGTGCCATTTCTAACTATTGGCAGAGCAGACAGTTGACCTCTGCATTATGAAGGGCCTCCATAACTGTACCACAGTACAATATAGGTAATGGCATATGTTTCATGTTTACATTGGGCACTCCCCCACCAGGTACAATATTCTGATTGTTTGCATCTTGTTTTTAAGCCCATAAATAATAAAGTACTCGTTCTAATACATTTATATAGCAATGTATTAATTCTAATATATAAAAAAAAATCATATTTACATTGCTGATAGGTTATCATTGCACAAATTAACACACTCTCTACGTTTAAAAAAATAAAAATGAGTAGAGTTCTAAACTAATGCGCTGTCTTCACTGTATCTTACGCACACACATGCTCAGTCACTCACACAGATCACGTTGCGGCCGCACTCTGACATTCAGGAACTAACTTTTTAGCGCTGCCCCGCAATTTTGTCAACTAAATAGCTTAATCGCTCATGAGCTACATTATCTTTCTCAACAAGGAGCTGGTAACATAATTGTTTCTAAAGGAATTAAAGCCACAGCTTTACTGTTAATAGAGAAGCGCGGCAAAACGGTGGTAATTCATACATACACAGCCTCTCTCTCTCTCGCTCTCTCTCTCTCTCATAAATGAACACTTGATGAGTGAATTACACTTTTCTGAGAATAGAATAGCACGTTTATCCTCAGTGGAGAGAGAGTGCACATGGTTGCCAGGTTGACAAAGATAAGTAACACACTTAGCAGATATTTCCGTATTGTGCAAGTGTGAAGCTCTGTTTCGGGGATTACGTCTCTTTATATCAGGCAACCCCAGTTGTGTTCCTCTGCGGCCAGATTAAACCTTGTTGTAGCCTATATATTATGCTCTATTCATTATTTTTTAGAAACCTCGCACTTTTCTACTCAATTTTAAATGTTGTTCTTGTATTCAAATTAAGCGTGGTCCACTGCTGCACACGTGCCACAATATCGATACAGGGACAGCTGTATCGATACTCGTATCGTCAAATCTCTGTGATGATACATTGTCGTATCGATGTATCGAACACACCACTACCGGTCATGGCGCTTTGGGTTCGGCTGGCCTATCACATCAAACAGTGCGCCGTCAGCATGGGCTGCTGCACAGGAGACAGGGACACAAGTGCAGGGAAACGAATAATGGACTGGGCGTGGAGAGAGAGCGAGGGCTGCAGGGTCGAGGCGGAACCACATAATGCTCCAATAAGGAGCGTGAATCCCATTTCTGCGTCTTCAGATACACTATCGCAGCCCAGCTTCTGCACTCGGCACCGTGCCTAGTGGTATATGCCAATTGGTATGCCTTAAGTTTGCTACAGAATCAAGGACACCGTCTCCGACCATCCCGATTTCAAGAAGTTTCTTCAACTAGAGCAGCTAGAGAATGATGAATGTAAGACCTTGGGCATTTCATATGAGAAAATCTTTTTATTTATTTAATATAAAATAAATGAATATAATATATTATTAATTTATATATTCATACAATAAGAAAAATATTATTCATTACATTTAATTTATAATTATCATTATTTAACTTTTATTTTAAAATAAATTATTTCCACATCAGACAAAGTCACTGTTTACTAGCAAATTCGTTCAGCGGC